GCATACATGCACATTTTTTGTCAACAACAACAATTTTTTTGTCTAGATTCCTCGTGTGGAGGTGGACTGGACATGGCGACACGTTGCAGTCGTGGCCCTCTCTTGCGTAGTCGGAGCTTGGGCAAATATGACGATCGGTCGCCGGCTGAATTTTGGAGTCTGAAGAAGCCAGAGGAGTTCCTTCTCGAAGTTTGTTCTTCCGAAAGTTGTTAGGTCTTGTGCCAACAAAGTCGCAGTTCATCGACTTCCACCAAAGGGCGAACGGTACCAAAGTGTTGTGGTCGTTGCGTGGGCTTGGATGCTGAAGCACTAAAGTCTAAAATCATTCTTTCTCAAGCTTAAATCCAATGTTGCCCAAGAATCAGTCGTGCCAATCACTTGTGCCACTCACCTGAGGAGTTGCAATCTCCTATGCTGGGCGTGGGACCCAAGGCTTCGAGGCGACTGGAGGTCTGAGGGTGGCACTCTCAGAAGAAGTCTCCGTATCTCGGTTGGATAATGATCCTGGTCCCCTCAAGAACCACAAGGGACATCAGTCTCAGACTCCGCTTGACCACCGGCATGACGACGACCCCGGGTCATGGACCGTCGCGGATGCCTCAGGTTTCACCTGCGGAAGATGGTGTCAGCCACAACCTTCACGGTCATAGGCGGACGATTGAGTGACATTTGATGGAGCTTTGGATTCAATTCCTGACACTGGTTGAGAGAAAGGCAGGTTCAAGGATGAGGGATGATCAATCTCACCACCACCTAGGTGGTAGCTGGGGTGATGAAATTGCAGACTAAATGGACAAATATCCACCAATCCAACCCACAAAGATTAGTTGAGGATGCGATATTGCTTCATTTTCTGTCTATACCGTTCAGGTGTGCTGTGCAAGTTGATGACGGTCATGCTAAATGATCTGGCTTCTCGGCTGCGACAAAGTAGCAGTTCCACTGCGAAGTGTTGGGACCGGTTCCGAAACTGTATGGCCTCCAACCTAGAAGCAATGGCCTTCAACCTAGAAGCGATGGCCTCCAACCTAAGAGCGATGCCCCCAACCAAAGAGCGATGGCCTCCAACCTAGAAGCGATGGCCTCCAACCTAGAAGCGATGGCCTCCAACCTAAGAGCGATGGCCTCCAAC